TAATAGCAGGAATAGGGTTAATAGGGATAGTATTAATGTGGGAGCGAAGGGGAGTTGAATTGGTGCTAATGATGGGGTTAGGGACGGTGTTGTTAATAGCGTCCGTGAATTGGTTGTCAATATATTTAGCAATGGAGTTGCAAACATTGTCATTGTTCATCTTGGTGGCATTAAAAAGAGAAATATAACTATTATTAACTGATTACTATTATGTACTATTGTGTGGTTATTGGTAGTGTGAGTGTGTGTATTAGTACTGGTTTACATTATGATACTAGTGGATTAGACAATGTTAAGTATGGAAATAGTATCCTGTACTCAATATAGGTCAAATTGTGGATGCATTAGAAATAATGAGATTCATGTAGAGTGAGCTCTGCTTACCATATATGGTATGATTAGCAATAATCATAGTACATGTATTTATGGGCTACTGTACATGCAGTGCAAATTTGTATAAGCTAGAAATAATATTGAATATGATTATCTAATGGTTTGTACATTGGTTGAACCAGTCTTTGGTGTGTATATATTATCTGTATATTCTGTTGTGTTATTATGCATATACTGATTACTCTCTTCTTTTATATTATTATTCAGTTAAAGGTGATGATAGTAATGATATTATGAGCAGTGTATTAGAAGAGATGAGACAAGAACAGGAAAAGTTGAATCAGATCATTACTGGTTAGTGTATCATCATCATCAAGCAATAATAATTGTCAATATTCTTCTACTAATTTAAAGACCTTAGAGCTAAAATGTCTGATAGGGACTTGCACATAGCCAAACTAGTGAAGGAAAGACAAGAGAGATTCGGCTTCAAGCAACCTATTAAAGAGACTAGTTCCATTGGACTACAATTTAATTACCTAATCCCTTCAATGGGTAAGAGTATTATTGTGTGACTGACTGAGTGTATCTATTTTATACAATTGTGTGTGTACTCACTGTATATATTTTGTATAATTGACAGATAAATTAGATTGTCTGAGTGATGTCCAGGTAGCCAAGAAGAAGCTGTTCTTAATTCAAGGAGACAAACCTCAACTGATGAATTGGGAGAAATATGGTCTAAGGATTGGAGTACAAAAGGAGAGCTTACTGTCCTCTGAGACAGTAGAAGCAGCAGTGGTTGCTCTTGTTGGAGGACAGTTTGACTTTCCAAAGAATACAGTATTAGTGAGTGCTGTTTATGCTGTTTCATTATCCAAGTCTCTTCTCAAGCCATTGCGATTAGAAATTGAGCACTGCGTTGATCTGAAGGGACGACCAGACCTTACGCAATTTTTAAAGTTTGCTATAGCTCCCGTGAGCACACCCAGTCTTCCTTACCAATTCTCAATAGTTAAGGGAGGAGAGTTTAGCTCTAATAGT